ACTAATGTTAGTAGAAAACGTGAAACCGAGATGGCGCAATAAATTGTTCTTCTGGAGGTTAGCATCAGCCATGTTGATGGAAGGCTGAAAATGTTCTCTAAGGTGATTAAAAGAGAGTAGTTTCGTTTTGGAGGTTTTAAAATTAAGACGCCTCACGCCCATTTGTGTAATTGAAGATGAGTCGAGGCAGGGCCTCAAGGGATCCTACACAATGCTACACATCAAGTCATATCTTTTGGCACGCCTCTCTTTCTCCCATTCTCTCTCACTCTCTCCATATATATATATATATATATATATATATATATATATATATGTATGTATGTATGTATGTGTGTGTGGGGGGGGTGTATCTTGAAAACGGCCGACATGGAAAATTTTATTAATCTTTTATTGAGTTTTCCCCGCAATCTTACATTTTTCCGTTTTCCAGGGTTTAAACCGTCCACAGTTATAATAGTTCCAAGCACTTTCGGCTACTTCTTTAGCCATTGTCAAGGATGCTTAACCATTATCAAGGTGTTTTTGGACATTGAAATTCTGTGTGTGGCTGCTACATAGTAATTTTACAGTGTGGAGTGGTTTGTATAATTCTTGGCGATCCCGTGCTATGCGCGACCAGTTGACCGGGGCAAGACTTCTATTTTAGATCACTTTTAACACGTAGTCTCTTCTACCACATAGACTGGCGGCGGGATCTCATCAATTTACAGTTGAGCTAGCTAGATGCACTTGCAAATTCTATGCTAACAGTTTTTATCCCGCACTTCTCGCTTGTGGCTCCCTTCCGGCTCCATGCTTTCCAAACAACTTTAATCTGCAAAAATTTACATGCACTGTCAATCGCTATCTACTGTCCTCCTGATTGCTCTTTTCTTTCTCCTCATTACTGGTGTTTTTGTTCCTAATTCCGTCACACCCTGTAAGATCTTGCGTGTTAGTGTCTGTATTGCTTTGTTTGGGGTAATACCGACTTAAAAAAATAATACCCAGGACTATATTTTAGCTGTTAAATTTAGTTTAATTTCTAGCATGTGGCCTAATAAAAAGACACCCAGTGAGGTAGTAATGACCAACTATATAACTCGGTAACAATGACCCCACGCAGAGACATCCGTTTCTTTATATATATATATATATCGCTATCTACTGTCCTCCTGATTGCTCTTTTCTTTCTCCTCATTACTGGTGTTTTTGTTCCTAATTCCGTCACACCCTGTAAGATCTTGCGTGTTAGTGTCTGTATTGCTTTGTTTGGGGTAATACCGACTTAAAAAAAATAATACCCAGGACTATATTTTAGCTGTTAAATTTAGTTTAATTTCTAGCATGTGGCCTAATAAAAAGACACCCAGTGAGGTAGTAATGACCAACTATATAACTCGGTAACAATGACCCCACGCAGAGACATCCGTTTCTTTATATATATATATATATATATATATATATATATATATATATATATATATATATATATATATATATATTCGTGTTGATTTATAATTGAATTTTACTGCTTTTCTTTTCATTTCAATATCCGAGATTTGGAAGGTGTTGATGTCGATTTTATTTCGTTGGCCTTGGAAAAACATTTAAATATTCACATGTCTGGGATGGTAGAGTTAGGGCTTATGTGATTCATTATATTAAATTAATGCAATATGTACACAGAAATTAAAATGCTCCTTTTTAAATAACTTGTCTGAGCGTCCGAACGTCGCTGTCGTAAAACGTTCCGTGCAATAAATAAAACTTGACAAATACCACTGCGAATGCACACTTGTGCTGACATGTATTTGGGAAATAAATCAGAAAACTGGATTTCTGTAATTAATATTTGATGAACAAGCCAGCAATAATGATTATTTCTTTTTAATACATCATTTTTTTCTGACGCTGAAGCGCCATAATGTTCTGATGGTAAAGATAATAACAACCGTTACCTTATAAGGAAACATTCGACATTCATTGATCAATCAGTTCGTGATACTGTCGATTGAAATTCATAAAACATTTTTTGCGTAAGTCCAGTAAATTTTATTGCTCTTGCCAGTACTAATAGAATTTTCTTCTTGACGTTCAATGTAGTGTAGAAGGCAAGGTGGAGTAATGGATAGCGGCTCGGATTGTTCGAATTCCAGAAGAATCTATTACATTCACTTACGTGCTAATTCCCTTGGGAAAAGTATGAATCCTCTTATTCTCCCCCACAGCCATGGGTAAATAGCAGTACCAGTTTCTATAGCCTTGGATGGCAACTGATTTAACCTCCTGCGGGGAAAAAAATCTGCCTCGTCAGTCACGTATCGAAAGATACACGATCGCCTAAGCGTGTATCACGCATAGCACATAACGGACTGATTGTGGAGCATCAACGTCTTGATTATGTCATTATTTTCTTTTCAAGTTACATGTGATAGCCATTTTAGTTGTTGCTACAGCTGAAAGTTCTCAGGTGATGTATTTTCTGTCATTTGACACAGTTCTTTCCTTGTGGTTCTGTAGCGCCAATTCACGACTATCGAAGAAGTATGGTCCTCAATAAGACCTACTTGCTTTATCTACTCGAAGCCATTTTTAGTCGTCGATCTGTGAAAGCGTTTGTATACAGCTGACAGATTAGATATTTCTGAATATGTTTGGCACTATACATGGCATCCATATGAAAGTCTCTGTCTGATGACTCTATTTAAGAATAAGACTTTGATTTTTAGTTTTATGTTTTGGCTTTGTAGCAAATTATAATGTTGGGTGAGACTATCCTTAGAGTGGCGTAGATTATGATCTGTTTCCTGTACTTCTGTAAAAAAAAATTATTAAAAATTCTAGGTCTGCTGCTAGAAAAGTTAGTTCACTGTGTCGTACTAGACAATTTTTTTCGCCAGAATCTATCTTACATATTTATCCATTTGTCCAAGCTGCCCCATAGGGTCTGGTACTCCTGCTATATGTTTCAGAGATTCTTGACAAAATCCATAGAAGAATCTGCAATGTTATTGGTCCCGACCGAGTATTTCGTCTTCAATCTCTTTTCCCGCCGTAATGTAGTTTCCCGATGCCTTTTCTATAAATAATTTCATGTTAATTGTTCTGTGGAACTTTCCTCTATGGTGAATGTTGTTATTTTTATTACCCATCTACACCCCACCCCCGACGAATTGTACATAGATGACTAGTTAGGATAGAGACCCTGAGGTATTATGGTGGCTGTAGTAAGAATGGTTAGTAGGAATGTGTTGTTTTGGTGTAAGGAATACTGTGGTATGTTTGAGTCAATAATCGTGGCTAGCTAAGTTTAAGATAAGACACAGATTGTACACCAGCCTTCCCCTATCCTCCCTTTTGGCCTTGTGCCACATGTTCGTATTAAAACAAAATAAATATTAATTTCCTCTCTGGACATAGACATTATGAATTGAATTGCAATACCAGATTGACAGCAAAGTCATATCATTTCCAGTTGAAATGGCTAGATGCAACCGTAAGTTCTATGCTAACAGTTCCTTCTCTCGCACTTCTTGTTTGTGGAACATTCTTCCGGCTTCTTGCTTTCCAGTCAAGTTTGATCATCAAAAATCTTAAATGCGATGTCAGTCATTATCCTCTGTCTTCTTAATTCTTGTTCTTTTATTGTTCTCGTTCCTTAATAAAGTTTTTGCTTTTCTCATATTCTTTCACACTCAGTAGCCCCTTGTGTTTTTGCCTTGTTCGGAGTGAAATTATTTTTTTTAAAAAACTCCACAAAACGAGATATTTAGTATTTACTAATTCCTCACCCTGAATGTTTATGATTAATTTCATTCACTGCTTTCATTCCAGTTCCAAAATTCTTTTGGAATTGTGATAGTGATGTACGATTAAAATCGAAATGTGAATAAAACAAAATTTCTTTGTTAATTAAAAATAAATTTGCTAAAAGAATGTTTCCTGTGATCATCGTAATGAATTATATCGATAATTTTGTTAAGAAGAGTTTATGAAAACACACAGACATTATACATATTTTTGTTGCCATGTCACTTAAGGACATAAGCGATCATGACTCTCCACGGGTTCCTTTTCTTTATTATGTGTGAATTGCCATTAAAGATAGGGAAGTGATTTCCTGTTACCTTCTCCACGGTTTGAAATTAAGAAGTTTTCTTTTATTAGATTGGTTGCCACCCAAGGCTAAAGAGATCCGTCTATCAGTGATGGGGCGAATAGAGATGAATTCAATTTGATCGATTGATTCGTTTTCTCAGGCATAAAAACCCCTTGCAGGTTATTTAAAGCCAGAAAATATTTTTAAATTTTAAGACTTTTTTTGGAGATAATAATAGTTTAGTGATAAAAATCTTACTAATTAACCCCTAGGCGGAATGAAGAAGACGTAGGTTCATGCCTTTCCCAAGGTTATTTGAGCATAAGTGAATATAACGAACACAACGGAAATTTGAACGCGGCTCTCCGATTAACAATTTCAAACCATTATATATTACACCATCTGCACACCCAAGCTTACAGCAACTTCGGTGATCGGATAAGAGCCGGTGTTTCAACGAAACATGGCTCTAAACCATATAGCAACCGCAGCTCCAACCTTACAGCACCTGGTATTCCCAAGCGATGACACATCTAGGTACTAACCACGCTCAAAGTTGCTTAACTTCGGTGATCGGATAAGAGCCGGTGTTTCAACGAAACATGGCCCTAAGCCATATAGCAACCGCAGCTCCAAGCTTACAGCACCTGGTATTCCCCAGCGGTGACACATCTAGGTACTAACCAGGCTCAACGTTGCTTAACTTCGGTGATCGGATAAGAGCCGGTGTTTCAACGAAACATGGCCCTAAACCATATAGCAACCGCAGCTCCAACCTTACAGCACCTGGTATTTCCCAAGTGATGACACATCTAGGTACAAACCACGCTCAACGTTGCTTAACTTCGGTGATCGGATAAGAGCCGGTGTTTCAACGAAACATGGCCCTAAGCCATATAGCAACCGCAGCTCCAAGCTTACAGCACCTGGTATTTCCAAGCGATGACACATCTAGGTACTAACCAGGCTCACCGTTGCTTAACTTCGGTGATCGGATATGAGCCGGTGTTTCAACAAAACATGGCCCTAAGCCATATAGCAACCGCAGCTCCAAGCTTACAGCACCTGGTATTCCCAAGCGATGACACATCTAGGTACTAACCACGCTCAACGTTGCTTAACTTTGATGACCATACGGTAACCGGTATTTAAGCCAGATAAGTTGATGTCACCTGGGACACTGTTAGTCACATTGTCCATTCCTTTTCTCACGAGGTCCAGAGCTCCGATTACTATTGGTACAGTCTTAGTCGTCATTCCCCACATCCTGTTAGTCTTGATCTTCAGAACCTTGTATTTGGTCAATTCCTTGATAATTTTTATGGGGGTGTTTCTCTCAGATGCTACTGCCATGTCAATAAGCATACACTCCCTGAATTTCTTGTCTTTTATTATAATATCAGGTCTGTTGGCTTTTATTTCCTTGTCAATTTTAATTGGCATATCCCAGAGGATAGTTACATCGTTATTTTGGTTTGGTTTGGTGTGTTTTACGGCATATCAACGTCAATGGATTATTTAATGCTGAAAAAAGTTTTATTGCTGGTAATGTTTTTCTTCAAAAATCTATTTCTGGGAATATTTTTCCTTGAAGAAATCTATAGCTGGTAAAATTTTTGCAAAGAATGTATAGCTGTTTATATTCCTTGTACCTTTTTTTTTTTTAATGTATTGCTGAACATATTTTTTCCTTCAAAAATTATTGCTGGTAATATGTTTTTTATTACAAAATATTTCTGGTATTAAAACCTATTTTACACAAATTTGGGTGTCAACTATTTGCCCATAGCTGTGACCCTAACAGGTGCTACCACCCCGGGTCAGGGTGGACCTGGGAACACCAGCAATTAAGAGGTGGTTCCACGCTCCTCAAAACCTCCAGATCAGAAGCCTTGCTGCTGGATGTGGTTTATCGTCTTACCCAGGACACGAATGTAGTTTATCGTCATATCCAGGATGGATCGTTATTTTGGGTAACTGTGTCTGGTTGTTGCTCTTACAATGTCTCAGTGATTTCGATTTTGTGCTTCGTGCATATATCCCAGTGTTGATGTTATTATTACTATTACTACTACTGCTGCTACTACTTTCTTCTTCTTCTTCTTCTTCTTCTTCTTCTTCTTAAAGAGCATAAATCACAAAAAGTTTCGAAAGCATCCTATCCGGCCAAATAAGAAAGTGTTCACTTACATGTTCTAACGTAACAGTGTATAATAAATATTTATTGCTCTACTCTTGTATTGAGCCCTGTTTAAATTAATGTTTTGAACGTTGCAATTTTATTCTTCGTACTTTTACATTTGGATATATATATATATATATAATGAAATGGACAAAGTCCGACAATTATGTTTAAGACATTTTTTATGTTTATACGTTCTTTTTATAGATACAAATATTTAAGTAAAATTCTCTGTTTATAATAAACAGTATTAACAATATTTACCGGTCTGAATGTCCGAGAAATTTTCATAGAAAATATGCGTCCTCCGACAGGAATCGAACCTGTATCCTATACGGAACCGTCATATAGCCTGAGGTGCCTTAACCGATTGGGCCACAGAGGAGCGTTCGGTTAGCAAGATTGATTTTACTTTTTTTAGACACAATTCTAAGTGATTTTCTCTCATTCATTCATATCTACTTAATGCGTATCCAAATGTAAACAAATGACGTATAGGATACAGGTTCGATGCCTCACGGAGGACGCATATTTTCTATGAAAATTTCTCGGATATACACCAAGAATAGACTGCGGCGAAGAACTGGGTACTACTTCCACGGTAAAATCATCTGTATTCCATAGATAATCGGAAATGGTACAGTATGTGAGCCTTGCATTACTAGTAATCAATCGGGTTGTTATTTTCTGAACACTTCATTCATATTATCCTCAAGTTATTTTTTGATAATGATATGCATTATATCACGGCTACGAGTCCCATAAATCCACGAGGATCGTAGGGACACAATCTGTACTGGATCCGTAGTAGCAGTGGTGTGCCTGGGACAAGATAGGCTGACGGAGCCCAGCTCTCTCCAAGTTTGTTTGAATTCAGAGTTTTGCTTCTACTAGACTGGTTTCCAACCAAGCCTATAGGGACCAGTCTGTTCTGCTATTTACCCGTGGCTGTTATTTTGCGAGGGAATATTGCATTTACAGATTTTTTGAGAATGACAGTGTTTGTTGCAGAGACATGTCCTACTATTTAACCCGTGACTGGGGGAAGGAGATGGGTTCATAACTTTCTCGTAGTTATTTGTGCGTAAGTAAATGCAACAAACTAGAATTAGAACTCATCAATTCACGGTTGAGCTGGCTAGATGTAGCTGTAAGTTCTATGCTAACAGTTACTTTTTTCACACTTCTCACCTGTGGAACTTCCTTCCGGCTTCATATTTTCTAGCCAACTTTCATCTTCAAAAATTTAAATGCAAATCTCAAACGTTATTTTCTGTCTTCCTGATTACTCTTTTCACTTTTCACTCATTATTAATATTTCTGTTCCTAATTCTTCCACATCCTGTAACCCCTTGTGTTTTAGTTGCTTTAGTGTATCGCATGAGTCGATACCAATTAAAAAATGTGTTAGTTTTTAAAATGTTGTGAATATGAAATTATTCTTGTAAATAAAAAATCTAGTAAATAAATAGTGTTTAATATTTTTGTTGTAAATTCTCAAGAACAAAAAAAATAAAATAAAATGTATAAATTCATTTTCATCATATGTTTAAGTTTTATTCCAATTCTAATCATCGCTTTTTAAAACATTGCCGAAACATAGTGGATGCAGTTAAAATAAAAGCTGTGTCATTGGAAAAACCATCATTTGACACTCCTTACTGGCTCCGGGGTATGGCTTCGAGGCCAACAGTCTAACTCTCTGCTTTCGAGCGGAGAGGAACCCGTACGAGGCTCCGCCGAAGGGCAGAGTCTCGTTCGGGGTGGTTGACTGCCCCTGAACCCGTTTATGCGGGTTCAAAGAGGGAATAGTTTTGGCCAAGCCTAAGGGCTCGGAAATCCTACGTTAAACCCGGCCTTGTGCCATATGTAACCCTCGTGTGGTGGGAAGCTAAATATCATTTGACACTCCTTACTGCAGGCGCGGAAGTCCGTCTTTGCTGATTTATATATCTAATTGCTTAATAAACAAGACGTTTATAAAAACATACATTTGTACATAAAATATACCTATTATCTCTAGCTTGACTTGTATCATTTCCCTTTTTCTTATTTTCAGTGCATAGTGCGCAGGCTAAATGCCAAAACTTGCTAAAATAATTCTGCGGTCCAAAATTTCAAAATTTGATATTTCTTCATCAGCCATTCCCATTTCTTAGCCGTTTATTTAACATGTCACACCCGGAAGAAAATGATCATAGCTCTCCACAACTTCCTATCTTTTGTAACTCTAAGAAATATTTGTTCCTTTACTATTCTTCCTATTCCCTGTTATGTCATTCATTTACACAAACTCGTTTGGTAGGTTACTCGTTGTTTTCCTTCGATATCTCCTGTGAGTGTTAAATTCACCAAGCGCTTTTTCCTCCTTATGTGTATCCAAAATTTCAACTCTTTCTGATTCTTTTTGTTTCCATTTTAAGTGTTAAAATTAATTCGTTGTTCGCATGTTCCGATCATTGGTCTTTTCAGCATCCTTCTGTTGTCTCAAGTCTCTTCATCATTTGTGAGCAATTTGTCCAGTTTTCAATATTATTATATAGGATTATTGAAACCGCATTGCAATTCATCACTCATCTTTTTTTTTCTGTTTTTTTTTTCTTTCTGTTTTTTTTTTCTTTCTGTTTTTTTTTTTTTTTTTCTAACGACATTTTCCTGTTTCTTATATCTTTGCTTAGTTTTTGAAAGACATCTTTCGCTATTGCATCATAACATCATGTCTTCTAACAATTGAAGTTTTACGCCCACATCACGTTGAACAACAATACTGGGGAAAATATGTACGACAAAGTGGAAAAAATGTTTTCGTGTGACGCGTTTCGTCTCTCAGGACATCATCAGAATGAATTTGCTATGTTGGCGCGACTATACATTCACAGGATGCTGGGATTCTTTTTTTCTTTTTTTTGTTTCCATCACAGTTGTTATTAGATATTCCACACCACGTCGCACGAAAAATTTTTTCCATTTTGTCATATATATATATATATATATATATGTTGTCATCCACAGACAAACTGTTTCGCTTTATCATAGCTCATGAGTGTGGATAGACACCCGATTTCCTCAAGTCACAATCGAAACCAGACTGATTTGTAATCAGTCGGAGATTTTCCCCCTAAGTTATCGGCTCTCGGCAGAGAGAAAGGTGAATATTTACGTATTTATTTTGAATAAACTTGGCAGTGACTCAGAGTACTCAATTCATGTGTGTGTGTGTGTGTGTGCTTTGAACAATAAAAATTGTTAAAACAATTAAAATTTCCACACACATTGGGTTGTATATTAATATTTTTTTTTTTTGCTTTATTATTTAAATTTCGACTATTTTCGGCCAGCATCAGGAGGAAAAAAATAGACCCTGCTTGTTATTAACAGTGAACTACAGGAGTGAACATATATATAGTCATCCACAGACAGACTGTTTCGCAGATCATCAGTGTGGCTAGACATCTGATTGCTTCAAGCCGGGATCAAAACCCGACTAATTCGACAACAGTCGGAGATTTTCCCTCTAAGCCATCGAAAGAAAAAGGAATTTTTACCTACTTTGTGAATAAACACGCCAGTTAGTGCTCAATTCAGGGAAGAGAAGAGCCTTATACAGATGATATGGGGGGAGCATGATAAATTTTGGGGAAGAATTACTTGTTTTCGTCTACTGTTGTAGCTATTATCACGACTTGATACTGAAAGAGCTGGGATAAATTTCAAATCTAGCGGACTTTAATGACCTCATTGCAGGAATCACCAGGTCTTTGGTTATGGCACCTGATAAAGATTTTTATTGATTTTACTTCTTCCTTATCCCTCACACTGGTCAATCTCACACTCCTGTCAGGTAACTAATATAAGAGGAGGGGTACGTGTCTGAAATTTTTTTTTTTTTTTTTGGTGGAGGTGATGCTTATAAGTTAATAAGAGTGTATATGCAAGAATATAAAACTGTATTAAATAATAATAATAATAAT